GAGGGGAAGGGGAAAGGAAAGAAGGGAAAGGAAATATTATGAGAAAGGAAAAAAAATGGAAACAAAACCTATGTAAATAGGGAAGGGCACACAGGTAATGGGGAGAAAATAAGAACCCAGATACATCATGTACAGGTATAAGCACCCAATGATAAATGTAAATGTATTGTATACCTAAAATGTACCAATGAAAGGATTTTTTTTAAAAACTCCATCAAGAAATAGGCAAGAGAAATGAACAGACAGTTCACAGAGGAAGAAATACACAAATTGTTAACAAATATATGAAAAAATGTTCAATGTCTTTGGCCACTAGAGAAATGCAAATTAAAACAACCCTAAGATTCCATCTTACTCCGGAAAGAATGGCAGTATTAAGAAATCAAGGACTGGGGATTTAGCTCAGTGGTTCCGCTGCCTGCCTTGTAAGCACAAGGTCCTGAGTTCGATCCCCGGTACCAAAAAAAAAAGAGCTCAAACAACAAACCCTGGCTTGCCTGTGGTGAAAAGGGAACCCTCCTTCATTTTTGGTGGGAATGTAAACTAGTACAACCATTATAGAATCAGTATAGAGATTTCTCAAAGAACTGAAATCCAAAATTCCATGTGACCCAGCTATCCCTCACCTAGGTATGTTCCCCAAATTGCTTAAAATATCATACTATAGCAATACTTGCATACCAGTGTTTATAGCAGCACAATTCATAACAGCTAAATCCTGGAAGCAATCTGTATACTTATCAACAGATGAGTGGATAAAGAAAATGTATTATCTATGTATAATGGAATACTACACAGCTATAAAGAATGACGAATTTGAGACATCTGTAGGAAAATGGATTCACCTGTAAAGTATAATAGTGAGTGAAATAAACCAGACACATGAGCTTAAATACCATATAGTATCTGTCATTGGAGTGAGGTAGGGCCGGGGATTTAGCTCAGTGGTTCCGCTGCCTGCCTCATTTGAGTGAGGCAAACAAAAAGAATAACAAAGAATAAATAGAAGGGAAAAGGGAATAAATCTCTTGCAACAGGGAAGTGAACCAAGGGAACAGGATGAGGTATGAGGAGAAGGGAAAGGGGAAATTAGAATAGAGATTTGCCATATACAAGAACCGTAATAGGTAATGTGAAATAGGAAGAAAAGGGGCAAAGGGGAAGGAAGTGGGAGGAGTAGGGGAAAGGAAAGAAAGGAATGGAATTAATATGAGAAAATGGAAAAATAGAAACAAAATCTTTGTAAATAGGAATGGAGGGATTGAAGGGAGGGCTGGGCAAAGGTGAAAAATAAGAACCAAGAGAGATTATGTAAAGGTGCAAATTTCCAATGATGAATGTCATTATATTGTATACCTAAAATGTAC